CAATTTTTATAGTTTAAAATAAAGATGACAACACTTCCTAATTGAGTAAAAATATTTTAATGTAGGACTAATTAATTTTTCTCAGGATATTTTAAAGAACAGCTTGGAATGAGATTTCCAAATCAAGGAAACGTGCCTTTGTTTTCAGTTTATCAACTATACTTAATAGAGCATTTTTACCAGGCTGCGTTGGGTCAGTCAAGAATTCTATCATTGGGCACTGACTTGTTAGTGGATATTCCAGCAAATCTTCAAAAAATGGTTAAGAATACTGAAATAAAAACTAGGCCATGAATAGCCCCCAATACCATGACAGGAAACATAATCTTAAAACATGTCCTGAAGATGTATGTGTTAGCTATAGATAAAACCCCCACTCCTTTTATTGTTGACAGGGCACTTTGTAACACTGCGTAACCTAGAAAAAAATGCCTCATTGGCTTTTTGGTTTGCTGAGGGTTTAGAACTGGAAACAAATGCATATGAAATATGTGCACAAAAATCAAAAGAAAACCCTATACAAATCACAAGATTTGTCATGGATATGTAATCAAGGTTGGCATGCCAGAATCCCATGAAACCTGTTATTCCTACAATCACAGACCCAATAGAAAAATTGACCCACAAGGAACACAGTGGGTGGGGAATTAACAATAAAAAAACAATTAACATAGCTATGGTTGCAACAATGACACTTCAAATAGTGTTTTCGAAGATTGCAGAATATTGATCAAAATAGATAAATGCTGGGTTATACACCATTAGGGGAATCTCACACCTTTTGGCAATACTTCGTAATTGGAATAACATGTTCTTCTTACTGCGGAAGAAGGAACACTCGTGGTCTGAATGAAGGCCTGGGAAGAAGTAATCTCATGTGATGATGAAATATTAATATTATATGTAAAAATTGGAATATGCACTAAAAAAACAGGAATGTTGTTTATAGAACTATCTCTGCCATTTACAGCTAAGATGTTGGCTTCCACATACTGTACATCCGCTTGTAACCAAAACTCTGTTAGATTTCGTATGACATAGTCACTGTTTTCAAAAGTGGTCAGACATTTCCCCAATGTTTGCCTAGTGTCTTTATCCCAGTAGTCAACTGCTTCAGTCATGATAACCATCACTATGGGACCATAATCTGAAAAAAATGCTCTTCATGGATGTTAAAATAGGGTGTGATATAAGAATTGTCACTTGCCAGATGTCGAAGTTCTAAACCTTCCTGCACTTGGAAACAGCCATGTATACTGAATGTGATGTACAGAAGGTATAAAACCACTATCACAAACTTGGACTTAGTGTTTGTGAGAAAGGGGCCAAAATAATCTCTAAAGAGCAAGTTCTTTGGATGGATGCTCGATTCTTCATCAGTTCGAAGAGAACTAAATGGGAGGCAGCAGCACCTTATCAGTGAGGAAGAATTTTGGTCTGGGTTACCCTCTGACTTTTGCAGCCAGCGCAGACAGGCCACTTCTCTCCTACCATCTAGGGCCGTCGAGGCGCCAAAACAGGTGATGTTATAAAAATAACAGAAGAGCAAGGTTGTTCCGTGTAAATGCAAAAGTACTGCACAGACTTAAAGGAGGTCATCACCCCTGTAAAGAAGGCCAGGACATTTGTGAGAGTGGTGATGGTGATGGGCACCAACACATGTGAGTAGACGTCAGACATTCGCTGTTGTACGCTGTCCATGATGTTGGTCTTCTGCCAGGCAGAAATCATGATAAACATGTCATCAATGCCAACACCTGTTAAGAAAAATCTTAATGCATATTCATATCCATTAAAGTGTAAATCACATAATTCAAAAGGTTTCCCCCTTTTTCTCTTTTGAATAAAGCAACATTGTTTTACATCCTTGTTAAGTTTTTGACAGTCTAGGATTTCTCCCCTCAGGTGTGGCCACCTTCACTCTCCCAGCACCAACGCACCTGTGGTCCTCCACCAGAGTCCTTGTGCTGTCCTCCCTGTCCCTCTTGCCACCCTCCTCCTCCTCCAACTGCTTCCTGGATGTCTCAGCTCTAGGTCAGCTTTCCAAGAATTGCTTTGAAAGTTTGTCTTTGTCGGACCCTTTGTCTAGTTTCCCTATATTCAACATCTAAGTGAAATGATCCTTTGTCCCTTAAGGTCTTATTCTTTGTCCCTTCAGGTTTTATTTATCTCGCACAATCAGTGCTTAGGTAACACTTTCCTTGGTTGTCTCCGAGTCCACAACAGCGCAAACTCCTCCTTCTGTAATAAGCTTGTGCTTTGCATGGATTCCTATTATTTCCACACAGCACAGTATACTCCTCTCCAATTGTGGTGCCTCAATGTTGAGATCAGGAAACCTGGTGGATGCGTGTTAGTTCAAGCAGGATAAGCAATCTGTTTCTGATTCCACTAGATTACTTGAGAGACCATTTTCTCTCATAAGCCATTTCATGGAAATGCACAAACTGTCAGCCAACATTCTGTTACTGAACCAATCTGACCACCAACAGCATCAGTATATCATTGTGGTATGACTTGAGAGGCATGGTGTCATTTACAAGCATGCACACTAGTTTTCCTGCTAGTCTGTTTCTTGGTGGGAATATAGAGGTTTCCTATGTTTGAATTCACCAATCGCCTGTGGACAAGGGAGATGGTTTTCAATTAGTTTTCAATTCTGAATCACACAGAAATGAACATACTTAGTCTACTTTTTGGAGCATTCTCTCAATTATTAGCACAAATTCCTAGAAGTAGAATGGAGAGGTAAAAGACATGCGCCTTGAATCCTCTTTTAAGCCTTTTGATTTGATACAAATATTGGACTAAGAAATGTATGAGCCAATTGACAATCTTCTCTGAGCAGTAGTAGACAGTGTTCATTACACACAACCACCCCAAAAGTTTCAGTCTTGCAATGCTAATTAATAAGAAAACAAGGCATCTCACTTTTGGTTTAATTTGCATCCCTTGATTGAGATGTCATATATTTGTCCCCCTTGCATTTCCAGTGACTTGTATTTTCCATTTTCAGGGTTGTGTGTGTTTGTGTGTGTGTGTATGTGTGTGAAAGAGAGAGGGGGGGTAGAGAGAGAGAGATAACTGCCTGTTCATGTCATTGTCTTTACTTTTGCATTTGGGGTCCTTATTTTTTCCAGTTCTGAAGACACAATTTAATGTTTGTCTTCATTTCTGACACCTTATTTTGGATCTCTAGTCATCTAAGTACATTTCTTTTACTTATTCTATCATAAACTCTGTTATCAACTTTCTCCCCAATACACTCATAGTGTAGCCACACATTTACTTTACTCATCTAATATTAGAAATGGTGCATTTGCAACTTTGGCACAAATGGCACCCCCATGTATAACATGAATCCAAAGCCACTCACCACTGCCAAGACAACAGAAATCATTCCAAAGACTGCAGTAAACATTTGGTTTCGTATACAGCTAAACTTATAAATAGGGAGGGGAAATGATGTATATTTGGCAGCAGCTGCCATACTTAAATTCCATCAATCCATGACATTCTTGATTTGGACCTGTTCTGAAATCTCTTCTGCAATCATTCTACACCTGTCTCCTGGAGACCTTTAATTCCCAAGCACTATCCCAGACCAACTATACCAATTCAAAGAGGGAAAATAAAAGTTGGCATTTTGTGCTTTTACTTAACTATCTTCTTATGCAGCTGGCCAAGCACTAATTCCCTGATGGTGTTTCAGAACCACATACATGTACTGGAGCACAGCAGATGGTTAATTCCACTCTAGTGTTCAAGGAGTTGTGTGTGAATGGAACACAACACTAAAGGGTAGGCAGCTGTAGTTGAGAAAGTACCCACATCCAATTATCTTTGCACTCATTTCCTGATTCCAACTAGCTATTAACACCAACCTAAAGGGTTCCTGTACAACAGAGATAGTATGTGGTTAATAAAATGTATGAAAGCATCCTGCTAAAATATTTTCAAGATTCTCCTTTATTGATGAAGTGGGTTCTAGAAAAGTTGCTATTAATTGAAAAAAAAATTTGAAATGTACTGTTTTTGGATCAATACAAGACTTTTCTGTTTCTCTTTTCGACCACCAGAAATGGGGATATAGAGAGAGCATTTGAAAGCATGCATGCAGTACTTTGCCTCCACAATAACCACATTACATTTTTGAATATTGACAGCCACCTGTGGTTTTATATTTTAATTTTATGTGAACAGTTTTAAAACAAATGATTGATAAAAGTCTCTCTGGAATTCTATAGGAAAAAGAAACTAAGTTTGAAGACTAGGAGAGACATCTGAGGAAATGGAGCTACTTTTTCCAAAACAGAATGTGACGAAAAGACTTTTTCAGACTGTATTCACATAGCAAAACTTTCTTTTTATTAAAAGGCTTCTGCACCATTAATGTGTTCCACTTTTTCTCAAACTGCTGGTGCCTTGAGTTAAATTTAGGGTTCACACACACACACACGAATTTCAGTGCAAAAGTAAATTGCTTGTTTACAATAAATTTGAACATAATGAATATTTTCCTTTTGCAATACTTCTTGAAAACAATATTCATAACTGTTTACGATAAGAACATAACAAAGATGAAATTCAAATGCAAAAAAGTTTAGGGAGAGCTACACAGGGCATGTTTAATCTCAATCCCTTTTACAGGTTTCTCATTTTTATGTAAAATTTTTAGACACTTAAGTAGGAAGGTAAATAGTCAGCTACCGTGACTTTACTTTGACTAGTTGTGCTGAGGTTCTCTAAGCAACTGTTAATAATTGTAAGTGAAGGAAAGATATGAAAATGGACACTGTAGGAGACTGATGAATGCACTTGCAGATATTCTAGAACCCTTCAAGGAACTTGATAGAAGCAGTTTATCAAAATGATTGGAGAATGATCAAACTTTAGATTTCCTAAGACTCTGGATCTACATCTTGTTTCAGTAGGTACCCGGAGCATGTGCAGTGTTGCACGTCATGTGCCATCAGTTAAGTTTCACTTTACTGTTTTACCTTCTGAGAAACCACAGGTTTTTCCTGTTAATCAAATGAGACTGGGAGTTAAGATGGGAGGGGCTACCAGGATATACCAGGAGAACCACGAGAAGGTCGGAAGGTTACTGCGAGAGGAGCAGAGAGAAGGTCAGGGAAGGTAGAAAGACACGGAAAAGTAAGGGAAGGTAATGGAAAAATAAAGAAGCAACTGCTAGTGTCAAGTTGTCTCAAGCTCCTCATTTCAATCCTCAGCCCTTCTCTTTTTGTGCCTACGAATCCCGCGGGTCAGGACAGGGGCGCCCAACTTGGGGCATGAAAAAGAACGAAGGACTCACTGAAGGACCAGCCAGCAAATAAGGTGAGCCGGCAAATAAGGTAAAGTAGCTGGGATCATGGGCAATTCAATGTCCAAGGGGCAGTTAGTTATTTCCCTGGAAGCTCTCTTAAAAGAGTTTGGGGTTCCTCTCAGTAGAAAAATTCTTAAAGGGTTTGTAGAGACCCTTAGTATCACTATTAAGTGGTTTCTGGAGAAGGATCGGTCGATAGTGCCAAATGGAATAAGGTAAAAGGAGATATCGTCTTACATCAGCAATTATATGGTCTTGATTCTGTTCCTGGCTCTACTTTGACGGTCTGCGGGGTGGTGGGAGATGCTCTTAATGCTGGTGGCACTGCTGCCACTCAGTTAGACACTGAGGCCATCAGGACCGCTAAACAATCGGAGGAAAAAGGTAGAAGTTCCATTGTGAGTTCTGCATCGGTAAATCCCCCTTCCTCTTCTCAAAAAATACCAACAGCCCCTCCCCTAGAATATTCTACCGATGAGTCGGGAGGAGAGGAGGAACAGGATGAGGAAGGCCTCTGTTATAAGCCAGGGAAGCGTAAAAGGAGATGGAAAACACCTGGGGAGCCACCTCCTGAGCCACCTCCTAGAACACTCAACAGGGTTGATCTTCCTTTAATGGAAAGAATGTGCTCTATGATGGAAAGAGCCCTGTTTTCCCAGGCCCCTAATTATGCTTACCCAGTCATGGAAGGGACAGATCCTCAAGGGGTGCTTACTAGAGTACATGTCTCCACAGCTTTTAAAGATTTGAAGGTGTTAAAGGAGGCAGTTACTCAGTATGGTCTCCAGAGTGCTTTTACGCATATCTTATTGGATAGCTGGTTTGGCATGAATCCGGCTCCTAATGATTGGAAAGCACTAGTCAGAGCGGTGACTTCCCAGGGGATTATTTGGTATGGAAAGGTATATTTTTTATAGAACTGCACCCATACAGCTAAACTCAATGCTGATGTTGTATTTCCGGTTAGAAACAAGGGTATGTTAGCAGGAGAAGGGCACTATGATAGTAATGACCGACAAAAGGATTATGATCCGGCTGTATTTGCCCAAGTTGCAGCAGCTGGACGGTCAGACTGGAAGGCAATAGGAGATAAAGGAGGAGCCGACATTCAATTAACAAAGGTCATTCAAGGGTCAACAGAACCATATGCGGAGTTCCTAGCAAGATTGATGACTGCAGCTGGCAGAATTCTAGGTAACACTGATGCCTCCCTACCAATAGTTAAACAGCTTGCATTTGAAAATGCTAATAAATGGTGTCAGGAAGCTATTAGACCCTGGAAATCTTGGGCAAGTTTGGATGATTATGTGAAACTTTGTAAGGATATTTGTGAAGCTCAAGTTACCGGTGCGGTGATCGCTCAGGCTTTGGATGGTCCAGTCACTGGACAACGAAACCATGCCTGTTTCGCTTGTGGTCAGCAAGGGCACATAAAGGCCTCCTGCCCATTTTTGGGGTGGAGCGGGTGTGCTACGACACCACGAATTGCTAACCCTCAAAAGAAACCAGGAGTTTGTCCACGCTGCCAAAAGGGTAGCCACTGGGCGAACGAGTGTCGGTCTAAGACAGATTATCAGGGAAATCCGCTGACCCCCCGTATGGAAGGGCAGCCGGGAAACTCATGGGGGAGGTTACAGCCCCGGCGACCCTCTCAGCCAATTATAGGGGCCGTTCACAGCAATCCCCAAATGAGACAAAGTTTTTCTCTAACCTCTTCCGCACCTCCCCAGGAAGTGGCGGATTCAATTTGAGTGTCTCCGCATACACTGTTCTGACTGCTAGCATGGGAGTGCAATGCTTACCTACGGGCCAGTATGGTCCTCTCCCTGATGGAATTTTGGGACTAATAACGGCCGCAGCTCCAGTGCCCTCAAAGGACTTCAGGTCATCCCAGGCCTCGTTGATACTGTTTACACTGGAGAAATTAAGATGCCTGTGTCTGTTTCTCGTGGAGTTATCTCTATATCCCCTGTTGACAGAATAGCTCAAATTTACCATTACCAAGACTAGCCAGTGACGGAAAAGTCCACCGTTTAATTTGCAGTGCTGAAGGTTTTGTTTCTTCAGGCAACCCTCTTGTGAATTTGGCTTTGACATTAGATAAGAGGCCTCTAATTGAATTGATAATTAATGGCAGAACATTTAAGGGCCTTTTGGATACTGGGGCAGACACTTCCATTATATCCAAGGAGCATTGGCCTTCACAGTGGCCCGTGGCTACTGCTTATACCTCCTTGCAGGGTCAGGGAATATCCCAACATCCTTCCAGGAGTACTACTGTGCTCTGCTGGAGGGACAATGAAGGCCATACTGGGCAATTTCAACCTTATGTCCTCCCTGGAATGCCCATGAACCTCTGGGGATGAGATGTTCTGGTGGAGATGGGGGCTTCATTAGTCATGGATAGTCCAGCTGGCCAAATGATGATTAATCAGGGCTGCGTGCCTGGACAAGGTTTGGGTAAACAACAGCAAGAGTCTCCCTTTTTTAATCTACAGGAAGTGATGAGGGAAGCGGGGGATAAATGAGGGCTCGGTTACCCTGTTTTCTAGGGGCAGCTGTGATTAGGCCTCCACCCACGCCCATTCCTATCACCTGGAAATTTGACACACCTGTGTGGGTACCAAAGCGGCCCCCACCGAAAGAGAAGTTAGGGGCTGGAAGAATGTTAGTAGAAGAACAGCTACAGGCCGGACACATAGTCCCATCTACCTCCCCCTGGAATACGTACCCATCTTTGTTATCAAAAAGAAGTCCGGAAAATGGAGACTATTACAGGACCTTAGGGCAGTGAATGCGACTATGGAGATTATGGGACCAGTGCAACCTGGCATTCCCTCTCCAGGTGCCATTCCACAAGATCATTATATCTTGATCCTTGATCTTAAGGATTGTTTTTTCACAATTCCATTACATCATCAGGATTCCAAACTCTCTGCATTTTCTATCCCGGCCATTAATGCTGCTGCCCCGCATATAGATATCAATGGGTGTGTCTTCCTCAGGGAATAGCAAACAGTCCCACTATCTGCCAAATTTATGTCTCCAGAGCCATTGCTCCTGTTGGAGTCAAACATTCGCAGGTGCATGTATATCATTATATGGATGATTTGTTACTGGAAGCTCCTACGTCCAACCTGCTGTATGCCTGTTTCCAGGACCTGGAGAATCATTTACTGATGTCAGGTCTAAAGATTGCTCCTGAGAACTTACAAATGGCTGAGCCTTTTCAGTATTTAGGATACCATTTGAGTAAAGGCAGTTATGCTCCAGCAGTACCAAAATTGGCAGTAGCTCACCTTTGCACCTTGCATGATTTCCAATGCCTATGTAGTGATCTAGCAAGGATACGCTCTTCGCTCTCTATTACATCAGGAGAGCTGAAGCCCCTTTTTGACATGTTGAAAGGAGATGCAGACCCCACTTCCCCTAGAGCCATTACGCAGGAGGCTCGTGAAGCAATTACTAGAGTTGAAAAGGCTCTAGCCCAGGTGACCTTAAATAGATTGTCTGTCTCAAGTCCTTTTGATGTCTTGGTATTTTGTAGTAATCTTATTCCCACAGCGCTTATATGGCAAGATGGTCCTGTTTATTGGATCCATCTTAACATCTGTCCAAAACGAGTCTTAGAGCCTTATTTTCATTCGGTTGCCAGAATTGTACCAATGGCTCTGGACTCCAGTCTACATCTTTCAGGTACTCACCCGGGAGCGGTGATTCTCCCCTATAACAAAGAACAAATTCAGTGGTTAATACGCCATGATGAAACATGGAGTATCCTTTATTTTACCACTTCAGTGCTTTTTGATTCACATTATCCTAGCAACCCTTTATGCAAATTTTTACAAAATCATCCAGTCTGTTTCCCCAGGATCCTCGTTACTGAACCTATTGTGGGGATGCGGTCAGTGTTTACAGATGGCTCCAGTAATGGTACAGCCTCTTTTGTCACTGAAGGGTATCAGAAAGTGGCCTCGGTGCCCAGTGGTTCAGCCCAAGTCATTGAGGCGACCGCTGTCCTCTCGGCTCTCGAGACCTACTCACGATAACCTATGAATTTGTATTCTGACAGCAAATATCTGGTACATGCTTTAAATGTTTTGGAAACTGTTGCTCATATTTCTGTTCATAGCTCCATTGCACCCCTCCTTCATCAGTTGCAAACACTGATTTGTAAGAGAATTCATCACCTTTTTGTGGGTCACATCAGAGGTCATCTCCCATTGCCAGGACCTTTAGTGGCTGGCAATGACGCGGCTGATTCGCTTACTAGGGGACATCTAATTTGTCCAGCACTTCAGAGTGCTATGGAAGAGCATGCAGTCTTGCACACCAACACCACATCACTTAAGGGTCATTATGGGTTGACTCGTCAAGCTCGTGACATTGTTTGTGCCTGTCACAAGTGTGCGTCTTTTGCTCCAGCTGCTATGCCGCCCCCAGGAGTTAACCCCCGGGGCATCCTCCCTAACCATATTTGGCAAACCGATGTGACTCATGTTCCCTCTTTTGGACGACAGAGCCTGGTCCATGTCTCCATCAACACATTCTCTGGCTTTCTTTTTGCCTCCCCACATTGCAGTGAAAAGACTTCTGATGTCCGCTCACATTTGCTACAACCGTTTGCAGTAATGGGCCGCTCATGTGTCATTAAGACAGATAATGGTCCTGGTTATACCAGTAAGGCTTTTGCCTCCTTTTGTGCGGTCCATCGCATTGTGCACAAAACGGGAATTCCATACAACCCGCAGGGGCAGGGTATTGTTGAATGTGCCCATATTTCTCTGAAAACTATGCTTTTAAAACAAACAGGGGGAGAACACTCCCCCAGGGACCGTCTGACTACAGCTCTCTTTACCCTTAATTTTTTGACCCTAGATACCCAGGGGTGGTCAGCTGCTGATCGGCACTGGTTGCCAGACCCTCGGCAGGTCATGATGCTGCAAACAAGATGGAAGGACCTGGTCAATAATGAGTGGCAACCACCCGCACCAGTACTAATACAGTTGCCTGGCCGCATTTGTCTTTTCCCACAGGATGTGGAAGCACCCCGATGGGTTCTTGCTCGATTGGTTCGGTTTGTCAATATACCTGAACCTGCTAACCTTGATGACAAGAGCATCCCAGATGTCAGTACGATGGGCGATTGTGCAACAGCTGCCTTTTTTGCTCCTCATTAATCATCATGATTCCACATTTCCGCAAATATTTGCCACTAATCTTACTACTGATCTGGCTTCCAAGCCATTGGATAGTGCCCTGTTGGGCCAGGGTGAGGTGAAATTATTTAATGGCATTTAATCTGCAAACATTAGTTCTACCATTGAACAATCCGTTAGTATCCAGAATAATAGATCAGAGAGTTTGTCTACTGTTGTTTGTCTGTGTCCTCCTTCTTTTTTGTCCTCTCCAATAATGCAGGAAATGCAACTGTGTTGAACTGTCCAGCGGAGCCCTGCACCCTCTCTGCCTGCTAGACCCAGAGTGAGGAAAGGGTGGTGATCGTTCGTCTGCTTTCTACTTTGATCATGCCCATGGATGTTTCTGCACTTCTTTCCTTTTCCTGTTCTACCTAGGAGGAGACATGATTTTGGCATCACTGCAGCTGTTGTTGCTGTTTCAATAGCGGTGGCCACGGCTGCGGCTGTTGCTGCCATCTCTGTCACTCAAGCTGCTGCAAACGCTGACACTATAAACAATTTAGCTGCCAATGTTGCTTTTGCGTTATCAACTTAGCAAGATATGAATGAACATTTACGAAATGGACTTCTGATGCTTAATCAGCAGATAGCTCTAATGTAAGAAGAGACAGACTTTTGTTAACTGCTCACATGCCTTGTAACCTTCTGTACCATTTTGTTTTATTTATGTAATTCCTGTTATGGTGAAAAATATGTCTATGGAAGTAAATAGGTTAAATATTGTAATCAGAGGACCTTGGAACCACCAGTTCCTGAACCTGACTGCTCAATTGGCGAGAAAGCTCATAACTGTTAACAACACTCAGGTTACCCCTGTTACGAGTGAGGGTCTCATTGCCTGGTTTAGAGGACTCCTCCAGAGTTGCTGTTTGTGCATTAGGCATATGGTTTCTCCGTCGGCTATGGAAGTGAAAGAAAGAATGTGCTATTGCAGTCAGGCAAGTACTTGGTGCCGTGGTACTTGACCAGGACTCCCCAGTGGCATCCGGATGGGTCAACGTAGCCCTAGAGAACATAAGCACCAAAGACGGGTAAGAGCGTAGCCTGTCCAGGCCAACCTAAGACAGTGGTCCGGACCAACATCGCCATATTAGCGATGACGGGTAAGGCTGGTCAAGGAATATGCCAACCTAAGACAGGACAGGTGTCTCAATTAAAGGAAAAAAAGGGGGAGATGTCCGGAGGCAGTGTTGCACAACACGTGCCATCAATTAAGTTTCGCTTTACAGTTTTGCCTTCTGAGAAACCACAGGTTTTTCCTGTTAATCAAATGAGACTGGGAGGTACGATGGGAGGAGCTACCAGGATATAAGAGGAGAACCACGAGAAAGTTGGGGGGTTACTGCGCGGGTTGCAGAGAGAAGGTCAGGGAAGGTAGAAGACAGGGAAAAGTAAGAGAAGGTAAAGAAAAAATAAAGAAGCAACCACTAGCGTCAAGTTGTCTCAAGCCCTTCATATCAACCCTCAGCCCTTCTCCTTTTGTGCCTACGAATTCCAGCGGTAGGGACAAGTAGGTTTATAATGAAGCTGCAGAATCATTGTGTCAAAAAAAATTTCCTCACACGATTCCAATGGTCAGTCAAATTGAGGCATCCCTGGCAGCAAAATGGCCAATTTTCTG